GCCTTGCCTGTAGTGCTTTTCCAGATAAGCCTGTATGTATAACACCTCATGCATCTCTGTTCCTTATCCCTAAATTCACGGACACAGCACTGCCCCTTTCTCTCTGCTTTGCAAATTTCCAGCGGGAGTGTGAGGTGAAGTCCCTCACACCAAAGAGCTTATAAAAAAATTATCAGATTACAGAATAACTCCTCTCAGGAATGCTAAAATGTAGACAGTAGGCTCTTCAGTTATCATTCCCAACAGAAAGAACGAATGTAAAATGGGTTATCCGTAGAAAAAGCAATGGGATCACAGTACTGGTAAGGATCAGGTTAAAGGAGCAGTAGAAAATTTCCTACTTACTCTCTCCTAGAAGTTCTCATTTCTTCACTTTGATAAAGTATCCCTTTATCCTCATCACAAGAAATCTCTCATGGCACAAGGATGGCAATGTCTGAGCACAGCCACTGTGCTGGTCATTGTCTGAAAATATGGTGTGGTGTGGATCATTAAGTGAGGCACTGGAAGGCTGTCGGTCAGCTCTGCTTCCCCAGAGAACAATCTGAGAGGGACCTGTCCACGGACACCAGCCAGTTGGACATCCAGTCAAGTAACCCAACCAACAAAGAAGGGTAAACAAGACCAATCAGAGTAAATCTCTAGAATGGATACACAGGCACTAATGGGAAGCAGCTACTTTTTTTCACTGAGAAATCTGTAATAAGTGAGTCCAGGGCTGCCACCTCACCGGCACACATAGAAATCCAAACAGCCTCAGAAAATACTATCAAACCAAAGAAGGAAGCAAAGTTCAAATTGGCAAGAGATCTGAAGTGGGGAGTCTTTTTTTATTCTTTTTTCTTTAATTTTAGTTCGAGCTGCATTTCAGACACGACTAAAATACTGTTCTGTCTAATACCTAATAATACCTTTGTTGTAATTGTCATGGTATACAACAGTTCAAAAGTCCCTTAGAGGCATCTAGCCCTTACTGCACATTACAGTAACCAGAGGTACTATGTTTTGATACCTAATTCTGAACCTCACTCAATTCCAATTAAATCAGGACCTCTAAACACAGAGCCCACACATCCATCTGTTTGTTAAAACTCTCTTGGTAATTCTGATATTTACCCAGTGGTCAGAACCAGTGGTCTTATCAAATCTTTATGCAGCAGATGTGGAAACTGAAGTTCAAATGTAAGAAATAGATGGTCCCAAATCTGCAGGTTCCCAGCCATAAAGCCAGAAACCAAACCGAAGTTCATTTTCATCTAATCAGATGTCTTTACAGAAAAGTTATATGTCATCTTACCTGAGTAACAAATATTTACTTCATTCTTGCATAAAAAACTTTTGTTCTATAAGCAGCATGAGTTACTGTTTCTCTTCATTCTTGTTTATATAAGTATAAAAACAGGAAATTACCTTTCCCTGAAATGTAACCAAAGTACAAAACAGTGCCTTAGTCAATCAGAGCAAATCATTACTCTACCATGTGATGAGAATTCATGCCTCTCCTTAACACCAGAGAATGAGTAGAAAGGAATTACAGACTGATGCATGCCATCTTATTTAGCAGCATGAATCAGGAAAGAAGATTGGTATTCACTTCAAGGTACCCTGACTCAATATGGTCAGTGAGAGTCTACAAGGGTTGATGAAAAACTATAGTATGTGTTTAAATAAAAAAATTTTAGTCCCCCTTAAAATACTCCCCTGCCTCGAACACACTTATCCATCATTCTCTCTGCTTTCTGAAGCAGTTCTGAAAGCCCTCTTTCATGTCTTTATGAGGTATGATCAAAATTACGGCCTATGCTGCAGTCCAGTGCCATCCAATGGGAAGGCAGGCCCATGAAAACAATATAGCACATTGTCATTCACATTATTCACTGGAGCTGGCTCCGTGTGACTTCTGGCTCTTCCCCAAGGTCAAGATGACTGTGAAAGGTAAATGTTTTGAATTGATTCAGGACATCAAGGCAGCTACAACTGATAGGGAAAACTTTTATAAATAGCAAAAACCTATAGAGTGTCACAGTGTAGAATGGCTTCTGCTGTCTCTAACAGCAGTTTGTTTAGTTCAGGACTAACAGGCACCGAAGGCATTAATTACTGAATGAGACATTTGGTCTGACCCTGAGATAACAGGGCACGTCAGGACCTTGAGCTCCAAAGTTACTGGAGCCACATGATCATGAAAGTGTCAAGATGAAAAGGACCATTGCTAACATTTGCTCCCCTGACCCTGAACACCCCATTTCCTACAGGCTAGGATAGATATCTAGGTAAATCTTACAGGTAAACTCCCCTAACTGCCTGGTGACCATGATTCGTATATCAGCAATATGAACTATGGGAAAAAAAGGTAACCACCCAAATGAAGTCAAGGCTGTAAAACCCTATAAAAGGAGCAGTTGTAACCCAGTGCGCCATTGATCCAGGCAGTGATTTTATGTGTGTTTGATCCTTTGTCAACAAATAAACTTTTTATTATTTTACTTCCATTCTTCTGCCTCTCTGGGTGTCGCTTGCTAATTCCTTCTGTAACACAACAGCACAAATAAAGACAATGAGGACAATTCCCAGTACTGCCTCAGAATGTGACAAGAATGACAAGTCTTTTCAACACAAGGAATAGTATTTTGAGGGAGCTGGGGATTTAGCTCAGTGGTTCTGTTGCCTGCCTCGCAAGCATAAGGACCCGAGTTTGATCTCTGGTATCAAAAAAAAAAAAAAAAAAAAA